AATTTAGCAGAATGGAAGGCAAGAAATGGGGAGGAGCCAAATTTTGGCCTCATGCAGGGTACAGCTGAAATTTGAAAGACCACTGTCCGCCGCTGTCACAACCCTTTTCTTGTTAATGTTGCCGCTTCACAGCTGTGACATCAGAAGTGTCACAGCTTCTGCTTGTAGCAGACGGGCAATTTTAATGTGGAGCTGTCAGGTTCATAGCTCAGTCTCTTACAGTGCCATCCTACGCATGTTTATTCAGAAATAATTGTCACTGTGTTCAATTGGACTTACTCTCTAGTACATGTGTTAAGCACTGCAGCTACTGCATTGTACTAGAAAGCAGTGTTGCAATTTTTCTGGGCTATTAGTAAATCTTGCAGGGTTATAAGGGTCAAGTTTTGAAATATTATACTTTCTAATTTCTGCTGCAACTCCCATATAGTGTCTGTCTCTCTCTCTCTCTCTCTCTCTCTCTCTCTCTCTCTCTCTGTGTGTGTGTGTTTTCAATTAAGTTTCTATCTGCCACTGCAGATAGAAATTGTGACCAAGGGAGAAAATAAGGTTCAGTCACAATGTTTTCCTATCAGATGGCCTACTGAACTCCAGGAACCATTTAAGTTTAGGCAAGTTGACAAGCAATTTATTGCTCTTTTTGCCTTCTCTGGTTACCCTGAGAAAAGCTTTTTTGTGCAGATTACATACATATTTTTCTTACCAAGCAGTAATATACACTGCGTTACTCGAATGAAAATTATGCAAGCTGATTTCTTTTTTTGGCTTTTGTTTGCATTATGCCCCATTGTGCTGGGAAAAACAATATGTGCTTTAATTAGCAAATATCTGTAAATAATTTACTCACTACTGAGTGCAACAGAACAATGGGGGCAGTTTTCACATACATCTACTGAGTCTGTACACTGGGTTTCTTGCCATAATCTTCTATTGTTTGATATCTCTATCAATCAGTACATCATTCACAGCCAACATTAAAATGTGCAGAAAGAATCCAAGGCTCACAGCATCACAATAGCAGCCCCAAGGCAAACAGTGCCCACTCTTTTAAAAAAAGAAAAGAAAATCTATTGCTTTTGCATGTAAAAGAATATGTGTGTGTGCGCACGCGCGTGCACACACACACATCAGAATCTTCTTCCAAAGGAAGACAAGAAAATGCCTTGAACTTTCAGACCCACTAATTAAAATTTGTCCTGTTGCCCCAGTCAATCAGTCAACTGATTGATTAATCTATGACAACCTTCCCCAACCAAATATCCTCCAGATATTTTGGACTATAAACATTCGTCAGTCTCAGCCAATTGTCTGGGATGACGGGAGTTGTAGTCTAAAACATCTGGAGCACACCAGGTTGAAGAAACCTGGGTTAAAACTGACAATCCCTAACAGTGATAATACTTAGCATTTTTGTAGCACTTCATAGCAGCAAACCACTTCACGTGTGTTATGGCCAGCATTATCATCTCAGTTTTTGCATTTGTGATAGCTTCCTTAAGGCGACCTTGTGAATTCATGGTAGAGATAACACTGGAATGAGGAACTTCCTGGCTGGAAGCTCAGTTTCTTATGGCGGCAGCAACATTTATTTGTGTCTACTACCTTCACGTATAAAACACAGGGCAACGTGCTCTAATTTTTACGAGAGACATGCATGGGTGATGTAGAGAGATGTAAGTACATGCCAATCTGTATGTTACCTCCTTTTATGAGTTACTGAACCATTCGAGAACAGAATTAGGACATCATAATTCTGTCAAGATAATATTATTGGACGAAGATGCAATGTCATTACACTAAGTTCTGCAATTGTGACAGTCTTGCCTTTAGGGGGACATTTGTGTGTGCTAGGGAGTAGGGATGTTAACAAAGGTGTGTTTAGAAATCCGAGTAATTAATCACCTCCATGCCTTTGTGCCACCTTCCCATGGTAAATACCATCTTTATTAAAGGGCTCTGTTTTCCTTTCCCACTCCTGCATGCCACTATTTTCAAAATGCAAAAAACTGTATCACGTTCCACATGTGACAAGCACCTGTGCAAAGCCACCTGAGCCTACTGCAGACTTGCAGATATATCTGAATAAAGATCCAATATCAAAGGGACTACAGTCATACCTTGGGTTGAATGTGCTTCGAGTTGCGCTCCGTGGCAACCCGGAAGTCACGGAGCGCGTTACTTCCAGGTTTCGCCGCTTGCGCATGCGCAGAAGTGGCAAAAAGCAACGTGCGCATGCGCAGACGTGCTGTCGCTAGTTACGTTTGCTTCTAGATGTGAACGGGGCTCCAGAACGGATCTCGTTCGCATCTAGAGGTACCACTGTACTTCATTCAAACCTCCACAGTTTGTATTTTATGAGTGAATTCCTATGAGCATATTACTCATTTTGCATTATTTGTTGCTGTTGTTTTTCAAAGAAAGAGAGGTCTCTTTATGTCAGCTGTCCCTTTCTTAGGATTCAGCAGAGCCGTTCCAGCATTGATGGGTTTTCTGTGTCGACTCAGCAGTTTGTTAATTGGCGTATTTTGCCCTCCCCCCAAAAAAGTAGTTATTTTACAAATGAGAGGACAAAAAAAGGAGGAATTTATATTACTCTCAGAAATCCCAATTATTTAAGATGCCAAAATAATTTTAAAGTGTGTATTTTCCCCCACTCCCTTCTCCCAGCTTATTAACACCTTTTTATATCTCCTTACAGGTGCAGGGAATCTGAGCACTCTTTTGCCTAACATGGCCAGGCCCCATCACTCCAGGAACTTTACTCCACAGTCTGGCTCACTGCCAACATCCGAGCTTGGCTGGGAAATTGCCTGAAGTAACAGAGCACAGGGAGGTGAGATGAGGGGGGTGACTCTGTTCATAGGTATACAGGAAGATGTCTTATACCAAATCACATCCTTGGTCCATCTACCCCGGTATCGCCTCTTCAGTGGGGCAGGGAATATTTTTTTCATGGGTAATTGTTTAGAGCAGTGGTTCCCAATTAACTAAGTATTGTGGGCCCCCTGTTTTTCAAAAGCCAAGCTATGGACACCCCTCGTTTTGAAAATGTTGATAAGTTTTCATTATGTGAATAGGGCCACGGAACCCTGAGTGGGTTACGTGGACCCCCCTGGAGCCCACAGACCACCAATTGGAAGCCAGTGGTCTAGAGCAGTGTTTCTCAGCCGTGGGTCCTCAGCTGTTGTTGGGACTACAATTCCCATCATCCCTAGATAGCAGGATCAGTGGTCAGGGATGATGGCCCTGGTGGTTCTCAAACTTTTTCCTCTGGACTACAGTTTCAGAATAAAAAATTGCTCATGCCACCCCAATTTTATTTATTTATAAGAAACACACTGGAAAACAAACAGAAACAACTCCTAGCAGTGCTTGATTTATAACAGAACACGACTACTTTATAATAAGATCATGGGGCATGATCATGAAAGTATACAACAATGCAGCTACAGAAGAACATGAATCATTCCCAAAATATAATTCTAAATGAGCCTCTTACATATGTACCTTAGGAACGTAAACAAACTTAATAGGAGGTATGGGCTTGCTTTGGCCGGGTAATCTCATTTATATTAGGTCTAATTTGAGACTAACAAACTCTCATCTCCTCATTAACACAAAGAAGCCTTTATCTTTTCTGACGTTTCACATTTGTCAGAGTTGAAAAATCCCCGCTCACAACAATATGTCGTGCGGAACTGCAGAAGAACAGCCAATGCTATACTCTGTTCGAACAGCAATTCTGAACCACAACTAGGATTGTCCTCGGTATCCCATGATGCTCTTGCTCTCATTGAAAAAAATGTATCTATCCACATTCTGCGAATAAAATAAATAAATAATAGGCTATACTACACTGAAATGTTTAAATGCTTCTTTGATTGTCCTTGAATCTTGGTGCCACATTTGCCATCCTCTCCTGCCACACCAGTGTGGCACATCACACCCTTGGAGAAGCGCTGCTCTAGGATTTCAGAGAACAGCTTTTCACTGCCCCCTCCCAGAAAACATGTTGGCTACAGCCCTGCTTCCACATGTTAAGTTAGCACTACTGGTCCAACACTGCAGTCACTGCCAGCATCCTCTTGAGCTACTGACAACATTGCAATGATGAAGTAGGAAATGCCACTTGTATTACTAATCAAATATACACCTGTCTCTGTAGAGTTAAAGCCCAATTGGGTTTAGTGGGGGGACACACACACACACAGGATACAAAGAAAAGGCATTTAAATCAAGCATTTAAGGTTGCTCTAAGAGTTTTGGGCATTATGTCAAATGCTGATGAATGCCCCAACAAGCACTTTCAGGGTTCGATTTCTCCAGAACCCTTACCTGTGAACAACCATTGCTCCCCTTAGGAAGAGTAAATACCCTAAATTAAGACACCTAAGAGGCTGAACCAGAATATGCTTTCTCCTTCCTAAGCATTTTGTACATGTGTTAATATTAGGAATCACAAAATCTATACGCGCTTTAGCCTCCTGAGCAATTCAGTAAGTATGATTAAGGGATAAAGCAGCACAGGCGCAAACACACACACACACAGCCAATTTATCTCACTTGTGCTTAGGAATATACTACTGTGTAACTAAGCAACTAAAAATAAAGTATAGCCTAATTAATTCGCCCCTATGCTTATTTAAAACACTCAATTAGAACTTTTTCTGAAAAAAAAAGAAAAACCCCATCTTGCTCAGTATCTTAATCTGCTTGAGGGTATAGCATGTAAAAGCTTTTTATTCTCCAAAGACAAGAGTTTAATGTTTGCGTCACTGATCAAATTGGGAACAGCAACTGCAAAAAAAACTTTTAAAAATACTGGCTGCAATCAGAGGCATACCTAGAGCTTGGTGAATTGGCCCCCACCAGGGGTACAAATAATGCTACTAATCCTTTTGAATCTCTGTGGTAAGATGGGGAATCACAGAATGGTAGAGTTGGAAGGCGGCACGATGGTCATAGAGCCCAAACCCTCCCCCCCAAATACGGTAATATTTTGCCCTTCCTTGGGTTCTAACCCATGACCCTAAGATTCAGGGTCTCATGCTCTACCGACTGAGCTATCTCAGGACTAAGCTGCAGCCCTCCAGAGGGTATTGGATTGTGACTCCCATCATGGATGACCAACGGTCAGGAAAGATGGGAATTGGAGTCCAATAACCTCTGGAGGGCCACAGCTTCCCCATCCATGTGCTTGAGGCAAAGTTTCAAGGAGTGATTATGCAATTATCAATTTCAGGAACAGCTCGCGATAAATGTCAAACGTGCATCTCTAATGCTGCAATTACAGGTCTGCCTGATTTGTAAATGTGAATTAATTTGAGCATGCACGCATGGGAGATAGATGCTGCATTAGCATGTTCCCCTGCCCGTCCCCATCGTGCTTTAATAAGTGGAATATGCATGCCTGAAAGGTGTTGCCATTGCTGATGGAAGCAGATGAGAAAGGACACACCCTTTGGAAGTCTACAGGAGGGCCTCAAATTAAGCCAAGGGTGCAAAAAGTCTAATTACCTTTTAAAAACTCAAAATTCCCACATGGGGAGAATGGCAGAATTTCCCTCTAAACACAGCAAAAAAGTAACTGGGTCTAAGGAAATCCATAATACAGTATCTGGCTATAAATCCAGTAACATCTTAGCATTATTTATGGAATGCTTTTGGCAGTTCAAAGCATTTCAGCCCAGAAGACTCATCATCTCGGTAATTCTTACAACCAGCTTGTAAAGTTTGTCAGAATTCTTACTTCAAATTGCAGATTGGACAGAAGGGCTGGAATTTCTGGATGACACCCAGAGGGGTTTTTTTTAAAGCTCCTACTCATAGCTGCAACCCTACACCAGCTCTCACCTAGCCTAGTGATCACTATCCAGACCAGTAGCTGCTCTCCCACATCTTAGCTGGATGCCATTCCTAGCTCTTCTTTGAGAGATGCCAGAAATTAACCTGGGACTTGGATGAAGGTATGCACTCTGCAAACTGAATGACCTATGAGTCATCACACACACACACACACACACACACACACGACTGTAACAAAATGCACATGTAAACAACAGATTTGAGGCTGCCATTCAACATATAACTGGGACTAAGTCCAATTGGAACTTAATAGGAATTACTTCTGAGCAAACATTAATAGGATTCTGCTGTTGGACCACCATTTTTACTCTAAAATCATTCAACAGACCATCCCATCTGTGGTGAGCTCATCCTCCGCAAGAAATGGGTCTTATTCCGTCACGATGAACTCGATGTACAATTCCCTTCCAAATCCACTCCACTTTCAGTGCAATCCTATACATGTCTACTCAGAAGTAAATCCCCTTGAGTTCAGTGGCACTTACCCCAAGTAAGTGGGTAGAGGACTATGACCTGAAGTCTATCAGTAAAAAAGAAAATGGGGGGAAAGTGGAGCTCCAGGAATAAGCTACTGTTACCCGTTGTTGGTATTCATAAGATGCATAACTAAGGCTGCAATTCCATATCATTTTACTGAATCCCACTGAATTCAGTGGGGCTTACTTCGGAGTAGGGTTGTGCTGTTCAGCCAGTAAAACTGTAGTCCTACTGATGTGAAGTTGAAATAGTGTTGCTTTTCTTAATGATTTGCTTAAGTGAATTCGTGGAATTACATTACATGTCAGCTGGGCATGAAGCAATACTTAAAAGTTAGTCTCAAAATGCAAATATTAACTCAAAGCAATTCCTGAGAAGCTAGGCAAGTCAGGTATCAAGATCACGGAGATAAAAATGTCTAGAATTAAACTGCAATCCTTGGCATACTTAGCTGCGAGTAAGCTTCGCTGAATGCAATGGGGCTTACTTTTGAGCAAATATCCACAGGATAGTGCTGCTAGTTCCCACACACATGTGATATGTAGCTAGGCCCTTTCCACTTTCATACCTTAAAGTTTGGTATATTTTTGCTAGATGTGAGCCTTTTCTAGCTTCGCAAGTTAAATTGGTTACCTATAAATGCAGAAGAGATGAGAGGGATTGCACAATAGGAGTTGCTGGTGTTTGCACCCAACTCTGATCAAATCAAACCAAACACACAGCGGTCCATTGAAACATGTCATCAAAAGCAACGTACTAAGGCTACAAGGCTACACGTAATTATCTGGAAACAGGCCACATTGTACACACTGGAAACTTACTTCTGAGTAAATATGCACAGGATCGGGGTACAAGCCTATGTGTACAGTACACACTACGATTTCTGTCCTACTGAACTTAGGGGAATTTATTTCTCAGTAAACAAGCATGTGATCTGGCTGTCAGGGGGGCAGTTCACACAGCATGCCATTTCCTACCCAAACCCCACTGCAGTTTTGTCCTGTACAGTAAAAAAAAAAAAGTACACATCTATTTCACCATGCACACACATCGCAGAACAGAAAAACCACGTGCCTTTCACAACTCACATGTGAGATTGACAGGCACTGTTCTCTTCAGAACTGCTTTCTGTAAATGAATAGCACAAAGTAGTCCGGATACACACACACTTTGCAACCTCATCCTATAAAACAGATGCAGCTTGGATATTACCAATCTGATAAATTTATAAATAACCACTTGCAGTTCTCATTAGACATGCAATACACATGCATGACTATCATTCAGTCTCCAAAGAGCTGTGATAAGATCCAGTGCTCTGCTAAACATTGGTTTTGCTCAGAGCAAGTGCCTCTGTTGACCTTTGACCTCACACAAAAAATGCTGACACCATAGATTTACAATCCACATAATGAAAAGCAGGGGGGGGGCAGCTCAACCACATTTTATCTACTGTGCTTAACATATAATTATATTTTGCCACACAGTTCTTTCCCTAAGCCCTGTTGCTTTCTCTCTAAATTATACCAAGCGCAATTCTTCCATGTCCAGGACGCAGACGTACAAAGGGTTACATGAGACTTTGTTAAAAACGGCCTCATCTCTCAGCTTCAGAAATAGCTGTTGATGTCATTTACATAAAAGAATTATTACTGTGGTTAAGTTACTTGAAATAACTGCTCTCTGTACCGAGAAAGAATGCTGAAATGTTTCCCTTAAGAAAGAAACTGCCAATCAGCAAGCTTTTTTTCCTCTTTTTCGTAGTTGTCTCTGCTGAACATTCACGAACGGAATTTTATCATCTAAAACAATTTAAAATAAATGATTTTTTTTTAAAAAAAAAATCATTTCGGTGTCTATAAACAAGTTAATAGAGTAAGTGAAAACAAAGTACAGTTCTTAATGGGAGTGTTATGTTGCCCTCTCTAGGCCTTGGCTCTAAGTACACGTTTCTATAGGCTCCTTGCCAAACAAGTATCAGTGTGTGCAGTTGCTGTTTCTGCTGCTGCTGCTGCTACTCTGCTAATGAATGACTAACTGAGGCCAGCGGGGAAAAATTACATCACTGGGGTGTAAAACTGAAGCACATCAGGAAAATTTTCTATACCTGCTTCACATACAAGTCATAAGCATTCCATGCGAGGCATTTGCATGCATCATCTCAAGGTGTGTTATTATCTCCATAAAAAATGATTTTCTCATACGGCTGAATAATTCAGAGACGCCTCAGTCAAGGGCCCCTAATGAAATATACCCAGTATAATCATGCAGCTAATTGCTAGCAGTTTGCATTTACTTATTTATTTTTTAAAAAACCTGAAATCATGCATAATATTAGGAATGCAGATGCAGATGAGAATCCCTGAATCAAAAGAACACTCTGGCTTGTAATGGTCGGATTAATTTCCTCTGATGTTCATACCACAGTAACATGAGATGGTCATTAAGGCATATTAAAATGATTTGTGGCCCATCCCCCACCCTTCCCAAACCCTTCCATATATACACTCTCACTCTGTGTGTCTGTGTGTGTGTCTGTGTGTGTGTGTACGTATATTCACTGCACAAGATCTCAAAATACATTTTTTAATCCTTTCAGTCACACAGCCCTGTTATACACACATTTACACCTCTCAATACTGCTTACTCCTAAGTATGTCTGCTTAGGCGTGTGCCCCTATTATCCTTTGGAAAGTTACTGGTATAGACTACATTCCTCAAGTTATGTGTTGAAAAGGACAGTCTTACTGAGTTGACTCCAGACTCAGTTTGGCTTAGACTCACTGGAAACAATGGGACACACAATTTCTCATGAGTCACTTAACCCCCATTGTACTGTAAGCATGACTCAGTCCCAACATGGGACTACTGAATTCAATGGAAGTAAGTCCTACTGAATTCAATAGAACTTAACCCCAAGTAAGTGGGGTTAGGGCTGCAGCCTACACCTGGATTCAGCCCACTGAAAAAAGGGGGTTATTCAGCAATTCATAAAGAACAGCCTGCAGCCCAAATTGTTCTTGTGCCCAACTGAACCCAGACGGATTAATTTCTGAGAATATGTGCAGAATTGCCCTGCAGTTCCTCACTGAACCAAGTGGCACTTACTTCGGAATCAGGCCGGCACTCAAATGCCTATGTATAAATATTTCTAAGTTTTCAATAGATGTGTTAAATTTAAAACAATTCAATAACATTTCCAATGGTTTCCTGTCTGGTTTAGTGGCCTATTATTCTTGTAGTCTTTTCAAGGGGAAGCGGGGAGGGGGAGGGAGAGAGAGAGAGAGAGAGAGAGGATATTTAATCCTTCCCCTTTCCAGATCACAGACCATGTTGAAGTAATAAATTTGAAAAGCAAATAATAAGTACTAGTGAAAAGAGGAGGGGGGAGGAGAGACAGCTGCAGGGGAAAGTTGAAGGGTGGGGGGAAGCCATGAGATGTCTGCAAAGGGGGGTCAACCTGGACAGGGTTTCTGGAGTCCTAACCATTCTTGCCCCTCCAACAACTTTTCCATATTCCAAAATGTCAATTCAAGAAAGGGCGTGGGGGGGGAGAGAGAGAGAGGGTGCCGATCAATCAAAAATGCATTTAGAGTACAGGACTAAAGCACTCTGTAGGCTGGGGGGGGGATGTTAAATGCTCATAACGTGGCTCCTGACACAAGAAATTAAAGAAGGCATAATCCAAAAGGAGTCTTGATCGCGGAGCTGCTATGGGGGAGAGAGGAGAGGC